CCCCCCGCTTCTACCCATCACCCCCACAGTGCAGCCTCCCCACTTATACCCATCTCTCTCGCATTGCATCCCCCTACTTATATACACCCCACATTGCAGCCCCCCCCAGCTTATATCCATCTCCCCTGCAGTGCAGCCCCCTCCCCACCACCGCACTTATAGTCACCCCACAATGTAGAAGCCCAGGCAGGTCCCATCAACCAGCCCCTCTGCTTGTACCCACTTTCTCTCTAATGTCGGGGCACAAGCTGATCCTATCATACAGACCCTGGCCCCTTCTTACCTTTTCTGCAGTGCAGGGGGCACAGAGCTGGGCATCTCAGTCTCTCTCTGTTTGTGGGCACAGCCAGCGAGGCCTTTCCCTGTCCATGGTGTCTGGCCCCAGATTTTGCATTCCCTGTCTTCTGGTTTGGAGAGGCCAAGAGTGCGAGCTGAGCTTGGTCTCCATGGACTCTCCCAGTGACCTGTGAAGCAGGGAGAGGCAGAACCCGATATCTCTCCAGCGTAACAAGAGTGAGGCAGATACTGCACCTGCCTGTGATGGCTTTGGGGACCATCTCGTAATACGTTTTGTGTCAGTGTGGGCTAGGGATTGTATGCAGCTCCAAGGGGGAGGGTTCCCACTGCTCCTCCAGGAACCAAACACAGTCACCAGTGATTAAGGCGGATCATATAGTTGGCACACAGAGAGGTGTCCCCCTCCCCAGAGGCTTTCATGGACTGGTTCAAACTGGGTTTTCTGGAGACAACTGACAAAGAAAGGGATGTTGATATAAAAAGGCAACGTTTACACTGACTTAGGGCCTTCTTCCTGATCCAGCAACTGGACAGGACCGTTGGTCCAAGCGGGTCCCAACCTTCACAGAAGGGTTGGGAAGACTTTGACCTCTGGGTAGCAGTTAGCATGCATATAGGAATGTGTATTGGTTTTATAGGTTTTCTCTGTAATGCTTTTACGTTAAGGAGGAAAGTGTTTGCATAGGAAGAGCTGAGTGGTCACGGCCATCAAGCCCTGCTCAGAGCCCTGGGGGAGAAGCAAGGTCCATTACGCAGAGCTGGCTTGCTAGGGATATGACAGTGTACGGCAGGGAGCTGGGCAGCCAGAAGGGAGTGGGACAAGGGTGGCAGCTGGAGACCTGAGACCAGGCTGGGCACTCCTGCACTGGACCACACGGGGCATGTACAGATGCAGTTACCCTGAAAGTGTGGCACGGTCACAAGCGCAGACAGGGAAGGGGCAGGACTTGGTCCTGCAAGCGCAGGAGACAGCTTGTCGTTCTGGGAGATTAGGAGGAACCCCATTTTTCAGTGTTTAACAGAAATCTCCGCGGCTGCTGCTTGGAAGCACTTCCTCTGAGTGCTTCTCACCTGGGAAGGTCTCTGTCTGTTTCAGTCACCCTGCAGCAGCCCTCTGGGGACTCAGTCACTCTGGCGGGGCCAGCCAGGAGAAGAAAATTCCCATGATCTAAAACTGCTGGGGTCTCCTGGAAGAGGCAGCGGGAGGAAGAGATCCTCTCTCTCTCTTCTCAGGCAGATGCTGTCATCCCTGGCTGGGACAGGAAGGCATTCCCTGAACCTTCATCTTTTAAATACTTACAAATTTGATTAAAGCTAATGTTAAAAAATTATATAGTACACAGGTTAAGAAAATAGTGTCTGTACATCTGGGTATAGTGCTTAGATTATCCAGAAATACAGTTTGTTTTAAAAGTCATAAGATACAAATAGTGCATAATCAGCAATAACCCAAATTTAGGTGAATAATTTTAAGAATACAGTTTAGATATTAGCATCCAAGTATTCAGGTACATCACTCATAAAAAGTTATTCAGAGAGTTGGTTGTGGAAAACAAATATAGCAATGAGTGAAGATTGTCCCTCAGTAATTGAGAATTTCGGGTTGGTTGTCCATTTAGAAAATATTAAACAAAGCAAAAAGCCCACACCCTGCCAAGAATGGAATCCTCCCCTAGCGCCATCAGCCAGTCTGGGCTGAGACTCTGCCAGGCATTGAGGCAAGAGACAGAGAGAATTCAACTGATGGCGTAATGGCGAGAGCGGGTAGTTTAATGTCCAGCATCTGCAGGGATTGGCGGCAGTTTCCGCTGGAGTCCGAATCACACAGGGAATTGGAAGCCAGACCATCAGAATGACACCCCAGGTCTCTGGGAAGGCAATGCTGCAGACTGCACCCGCGGGCAGCAGGGTATTAATGTGTGCACAGTGTCGGCCACAGGACTGCCAGGCGGGGCTAGCCCCAGGCTTCCTTTGGTGAGTTGTTTTGTCTCCCCATCAGATTGAGAAATTGATGTCCAGCCTGAGGACCTGGGAAAAAGCCAGTGGGAGTCTTTCCTGTGAGATGCCAGCACGCCAGTGGGAGGAGCAGGCAGAGCTGCAGCAGAGACTTGCTGATGTTCAGGATGAGCTGCGGGAGAAAGAGACAGCAGTGCACAGGCTCCAGGCCGAGCTGCGGGATGCTAGCCTGCTGGTAAGACACACACTGAAGCACCAAGCTGGAGAATATGGCTGCATGCACAATACCTACAGCTGGAGCCAGAGAGCTGTGGTCTGCTGGGGTGATTTGAGATTGCCACCATGTCTGCTAGAGAGATGATACTGCCATTTATTATTGTTGCCCCTTTTCGATCTGAGTGGCTAGTGGCAGTTTGAGGTGCTGTGGGTGTTCCGGCAGGGAGCAGAAATTGGTGAGGGTCAGGTATGTCTTTGATGCAGTTTTATCTGTTTATAAAGAATATGCAAAGTCCTGTGTCTCTGAACACAGAAAGAATCAAATAGCAGAAAACAGCTTCTTTTGATAACACACCAAAAGTTCTCTTTTCAGATTGTACCCCAACACAAAAACATCTCTCCAGGTCAGATACTGTGCTTTCAGCTGCTCCTGTTAAGAGGGAAAGTCCCCTTATGGAGTAGTAAGTGGTTAAAACAAAGGGTGGGAATAAGTGGTGATTTTTCACAGTAGAAAGTGGTAAATAGCCAGGTCCCTCAAGAATCTGTGCTGGGATCTGTGCTAGTCAGCATATTCATAAATGATGTTGGGGTTAACAGCGTGGTGGTGAAGTTTGCAGACGATACTAAATTACTCAAGATAGTTAAGTCCAAAGCAGACTGCGAAGAGTTACAAAGGGATCTCACAGAACTGGGTGACTGGGCAACAAAATGGCAGATGACATTCAATGTTGATAAATGCAAAGTAACCCCCATTGGAAAACATAATCCCAACTGTACATATACAATGATGGGGTCTAAATTAGCTGTTACCACTCAAGAAAGAGATCTTGGAGTCATTGTGGAGAGTTCTCTGAAAATATCCACTCAATGTGCAGCGGCAGTCAAAAAACTGAACAGAATGTTGGGAATCATTAAGAAAGGGATAGATAATTAGACAGAAAATATCATATTCCCTCTATATAATATAAATCCATGGTATGTCCACTTCTTGAATACTGCGTGCAGATGTGGTCGCCCCATCTCAAAAAAGATATATTGGAATTGGAAAAAGTACAGAGAAGAGCAACAAAAATGATTAGGGGTATGGAACGGCTTCCATATGAGGAGAGATTAAAAAACCTGGGACTCTTCATCTTAGAAAAGAGATGATAAAGTGGGGGATATGATAAAGGTCTATAATGACTGGTGTGGAGAAAGCGAATAGGGCAATGTTATTTACACTTTCACACAATACAAAATCTAGGGGTCACCCAATGAAATTAATAGTTAGCAGGTTTAAAACAAATATAAGGAAGTATTGCTTCATGCAACACACAGTCAATCTGTGGAACTCATTGTCAGGGGATGTTGTGAAGGTCAAAAGAATAACTGGGTTAAAAAAAAACCTAGATAAGTTCATGGAGGATTGGCCCATCGGTGGCTATTAGCCAAGATAGTCACCAATGCTCTGGTGTCCCTGAACCTCTGACTGCCAGAAGCTGGGGTGGACAACAGGAGATGGATTACTTGATAATTGCCCTGTTCTGTTCTCTCTCTCTCTGAAATACCCGGCACTGGCCACTATCGGAAGACGTGATCCTGGGCTAGATGGATTGGCCTGACTCAGCATGGCCATTCTTAAGTTCCTTCCTGCTGGCTCTGCACATGTCTACACTGCACCACAGTACGGACTACAGGGGTATGAATTGCAGAGCACACCAAAATGTTGGGCTGTAATTGTCCCATGTGAAGACTTCCGGCACAAACTAACAGACATGCAGTTCTCAGTAACGTAGTCCTCTTACAAACAGGGAGAACCTATTACCAACCAGAGACTCTCACTGGATTAGGAGTTGTGCAGAATGTTGTTACATCTTAGCTCAGAAGCCGGTAACTGCTGGTAGGAAGACCCACTCCACAAGAGGCACTGCAGCATCAGTAGCTTTCTTCAGACAGATTCCCCTGGTGGTGGAGATTTGCAAAGCAGCAACTTGGAGTTGAGAGCACACTTTCACCAGACTGCTCCTTGGGCTGTCCATATTTAGCTAAGAACTCCTTGCCCATCGTCCACCTGGTGGAACTCTGCTTGCTAATCTCCCACAGAGGCCTTCAAAGAAGAAAGTGAAGTTACTTCCCAAGAGTCACCTCTGTGCATTCACACGACCCGCCCGCTTTCCCTCTACCTCAGAGTTCTGCTCGGTGTCAGGGCTCTGGACTCTATGGAGAAGGATCTAAGGCTGTTGAGGGGGGTGCACTCCCTTATGCCGAGTCGCATGATGATATCACCCTCATGCCTGACTGCTCGTGTACCCCAGTGGGCTTTTCAAGGCAGTTCCACAGCTCGTTGCCAGGGGCGCCATAGCCTACAAGTGCGAATGCTCAGGGCACAGTTACTAGTGAGTAGTATCCCCTTCTGCAAAGGTGAGCACCCTGAGCAGAGCCCTCCACCCCAGGGCACACCTGGCTGTAAAGCCCTTCCTGCAGCTCAGTTCCTTCTTTATAAAGGGCTAGTGCTGCTTAGTGCTCCTTGCTCATCACCTTCTAGGAGTCAATTCCCATTGTCACAGAGACAGCTGGTCAAGCCCTAGATGGGCTAGCCTTAGACTTACCCAATTGTAACTGCAGACATGATTGTTACTGATTTGGTTCATTCATGGGCTCATTTCTGTAATACCTTTGGATTCATATCACTTGGCTCCGCTGAACTGAATATGTTCAGCTTTCCCAAAGCTTCCTTTCTCTGATGTTTAGCAATAGAATCATAGAATTGTAGGACTGCAAGGGACCTCGAGAGGTCATCTGGCCCAGTCCCCTGCACTCATGGCAGGACTAAGTATTGTCTAGACCAGGGGTTCTCAAACTTGGTTCGTGGCTTATTCAGGGTAAGCCCCTGGCGGGCCGTGAAACGCTTTGTTTACCTGAGCGTCTGCAGGCCCAGCTGCTCGCAACTCCCAGCGGCCGCAGTTCGCCGTTCCCAGCCAATGGGAGCTACGGGAAGCAGCATGGGCCGGGCCACCGCTTCTTGTCCTATCCTCAGAGGTTAAGGAGAACAATTTTTCTCCCTCCTCCTTGTAACAACCTTTATATACTTGAATAGCTCTTTTAATAAGATATTCTTGATTTCCTAGTTGTACAATCTTTTCCCCCCTTTATTTCTGCTAGAGAGATCTAGAGTCCAGTGTCAACCATTTCAGATGCAATCTTGGTTTGTCCCCCTTCTTCGCTTTTAGTTGGGGCATGTATTCTCTGGATAGCTTTGTAAAAGTGCTTTTTAGTTCTCTTAGTGCTTTTGGCAACATTAACTCATCTGCTTTCTAGCAGCCTTTCCCTTTCCGCCTTAACTGACTCTGTGTTTCTGTGTGGTTCCCTCCCCAGCTGTTCACACCCCAACTGCAAATCTTGTGCATTTGCATGCTCTGGTGATGACAGTACAGAACCCAACTCAGAGTCAGCCCTTAGCCATGTTCCTGCCCTTTTCCTTATTTGAAGAATTGTAATCTGCTGTGCCCTAATTATGGTGACAAGTAAGATCCCCCACGCTTATGGATTTGAATTATTCCTCCAATTACTTCTTTCTCGCTACATTTCTTAATTGTACATGATTTGCTTTCCCAAAATCTAATGCCTACATAGTGCTGGATTTGGTGAGCGTCCCATTCCTTACTGTGCTCAGCTGTCGCTGATTTCACCTTCTCTATTAATCGCAGTCAGTCTGATCAGTAAGAAGTAGATGCAGGATGGTTCTCGTCTGGCTTGTCCCGTAGGTGATCTGGGAACGCGGAGATTAGCTCTAGGCGCCCGGGCCCTTATTTAGGCAGCTTGAGTCCAGTGAGCGCTGCTGGCTGCTCAGCATTTTGAAAATCAGGCCACTGATTTAGAAGCCTAAATATGGGTTTAGGGGCCTAACTTTAGGCTCCTACGTTTAAAACGTGCTACTTGTTGAGGAGAGGTTTGTGATAGTTACACAGTGATTTCACTGCCATTAGTAGGATGTTTGAACAGTGATCTGGGTTCTCTGACACGTGGCATGACAATAGAATCCGGCAGCATTATAATCATTATTCAGGAGGGAACTCTGTCTGCCAGCCAACACCTACAAACAAAGCTCCTTTCTGTCCAGGGAAGCAATAATATATGGAGATATCCCATCTCCTAGAACTGGAAGGGACCCTGAAAGGTCATTGAGTCCAGCCCCCTGCCTTCACTAGCAGGACCAAGTACTGATTTTGCCCCAGATCCCTAAGTGGCCCCCTCAAGGATTGAACTCACAACCCTGGGTTTAGCAGGCCAATGCTCAGGTTTAGCTACCACGTTGAGACAGGACTGATTTACTATACTCTCTGACTACCACTCAAAACAAACCTGCTGACCAAGGTTTTTATGGATGCAACAGTGAAGGAAAAGAACTAGTTCTTTGCCCCCTGTGCGGCTCATCAGCCTTGGCATAGGACTTCCAGCACCAGCACGCCAGCTGTCTCCCCTCTCGCTTCATTTATTGCAGATCACCTGTGAGCCTGGGTGACCTTGTCAGAACAAAGCCAGTGAAGAAGGTGCCATGGGACCACTGTGTCAGTGGTGGAGAACATAAGAGTATTATAGTGTCCTACCAAACCTTCATGGGATTAGTCAGCGGAACAAGACTCTCCCTCCGAGCTCTCTGCAGCCCTTCTGAGGACAGACCATCGAAACAACAGGAGAGATGAGCCCCAGCCTCAAATGTAGGGGTAATGGCCAGCCTGGGAGGAGGGTGGGCTTCGGAGCCCAAGCTCCAACCTGAGCCCACAGCTGTTTTTAGTACCACTGTGTGAGCCCCAGTCTGTTGACTTGAGTTCTGAGACACAGTGCCCCGGGTTTCTGCTTGCCGCGTAGACATACCAGGAAACCCTAAGCCAACGCAGAAGATTCATCCTCTGCATGCGGATTGAAATCTCCAAGAACACACAGTCAGTGCCTTTCCAATGCCATGATGGGGAGGAACTCATTCAGCTCACCGAGCAATTTGGCAGTGCAGTGGGGCAAGCAGTACGCCGAAACCAGTCC